GCACCCCACGTTGCCCAATGGAGGTGAGGGGTGTCCGTGGGGGGCTGCGAGCGGTGCCGGGAGGATGATGATGGTGCCAAGGATACTGTGGAGATGCTTCGCTAGAAGATGCGTGTGCAGGCGGGGAGGGGATGTGGGTTTTTGCGGGGGTTATTCCCCAAATCCCTGCACCCATCCTGGGATGGATCCGGCTATGGGGAAGGGCTGTGTTTGCTCTCCACTGCCGGGCGCTTATCGGCGCTGTTTGTCCCGGCTGGTCGGGACAGCGTTTGCTTTTGGGGCAGGTCAGCGAATGCAAAGCTGTTGGGGTGTTATTGCGACAGGGTGTTATGGGATGTTATTGCTCCCCTAAACCCACCGTGTCTGGCTTTTGCCGCAGAAACCCACCCAGCGGCCCCCAAGCCTTCGTCCCCGCCGGTCCTCGTTCTCTCTGAAGCGCCCCAGCCCTTGTCCGCAGAGGCGCTGGGTCCGGCGCTGCAGCAGCTGGACCTTGCAGCACCTGCCAGCTTCCAGGTGAGGACAATGGGGTGCAATCACCCCAGTGCCTCAGTTTCCCCACCTGCAAGGGCATAAATGTGACAGGCTTTTGCCTCCCCCCACTCACCAGGCCCCTTCTGCCTTCCCCGCTGAATTGAGGCTGCCCAAATTTTGCCAGGAGCAAGCAGGCCAGCCGCAGTGGCAGGATGCGAACGGGTACCTGGAGAGGGACAGCTCCAGAGGTAAGAGGGTGACCCAGCTGCGCAGCGCAGGCTCCTCTCCAGTTGGGGAAACCGAGGCACGCAACACCGAACCCCTCTCCCTTCCTCCTGCAGACATCTGTGCCTTCTGCCACAAAGCGCTGGGGCCCCGGGAGCCGACGGTGGAGGCGATGCGGAAGCAGTACCACGCCAACTGCTTCACCTGCCGGACGTGCCACCGGCTCCTGGCTGGCCAACGCTACTACCAAAAAGATGGACGCCCCACATGTGACACTTGCTACCAGGTACCTGTCCTCCCCCGAGGACAACCAGCACCCTCGGGAGGGTGGCAGGGGGTGCGGTTCCTTGGAGGGGGGAGCTGGCATCTCACAACGTGTTCTCCCCAAAACCCCAGGCCACGCTGGAGAAGTGCGCCAAGTGCCAGGGGCTGATTACAGAGCGCATCGTCCGTGCCCTGGGCAAGGGCTACCACCCCGGCTGCTTCTCCTGCACCGCCTGCGGCCGGGCCATCGGCACCGAGAGCTTCGCTGTGGACGAGCAGGATGAGGTGTACTGCGTGACCGACTTTTACAGGTGGGGGAGCGCGGAAAAGGGGGAGCATCCCCCACACTGGGAGGGCTTTGGCTTGTTCCCGTCATCCCACCGGTCTCACGCCGTTCCGATTTGCTCCCGTCAGGAAATACGCTGCGATCTGCAGTGCCTGTGAGCACCCCATCGTCCCTCGCGAGGACAAGGACACCTACAAGATTGAGTGCCTGGGACGCGATTTCCACGAGAGCTGCTACCGCTGCGAGGTATGGCCCTGATGGGGCTGGGGGCACACCCCAAAAGCCGAGGGGTTTGGCACCGAGCCTTTGCAAAGCACGGCCATGGGGCTCGCAGCACTCGGGGTTACTTTTTAGCCAGCAGTTTATCTTGCAAATCGATGGGGAGGAGGAAATATAAATAAATTGGGTGAAAAGGATGATGCGTTTGGCCAGGAGAGCTTCAGCTTTTCATGCTTTTGATGTAGTTTTGTTGTTTTTTTCTGAGTGCTGGTGGGTTTTGCAGCAAAAATGGGATGCAACACCCTAAAACGTGGCCTCCCTTTCCCCTCTCGTCCCCAGAGCTGCAGGACACCCCTGTCACCGGAGCCAACGGAGAACGGGTGCTACCCCCTGGACGACCACCTCCTCTGCAAGTCCTGCCACATCCGATGGCGAAACGAGTCGTCCTGCTAAAAACCCGCAGCTCAACATCCATCTTCCAGCACTGCACACCAAAAAGGGGCCGTGGCCAGTCCTGGGTGCCTGCTGCACCCCCAAATAGCTGCAGAACTGGGGTTTTCATCACCAAAATGTAGCTGGTACCCCCCGTCCTGCTGGGCTGGCCAGGCAGAGAAGCGCAGATGTGGTGTCCTGGCATGGCTCTGAGCTCATAGCAAACATAAAAAGCCCTGGCAGAGCAGCGGTGGCAGAGGAGCTGAGGTTTTGTTCACTTATTTCTTTTTTTAAATTCCTTTTCCAAGGCCGGTTTGGTTTCCTTGGGTGGTTTTTTTTTTTCTCTCTTCTCAAGCTTCCTTGGGGTTTCACTTAAACATTTCTCTGTGGTGACGCAGAGAGCAGGCACTGATTTAGTTACTCGTAGTTAAATAAACCCCCGAGTTTAAAAAAAAAACCAACCCTGTTTCTTTCATCCGCCCTGCATCCCAAACCCATAAAATGCATGTTTAAAAATAAGAAAGAAAAAAAAAAAAAAGCGCCACTTTTTAGACTTCACAGGAGTGGCAAGAGCCAGGTTGCTCAGGGCAATAAGGCAGCTGATTTTTGGGGTGCAGCGATTTGGCAGATGCCGCTGTCGCCCTGGGGAGAGCGGAAGGTCGTTTTCCGGGGCCAGATTCAGGGTTTTGCGATGCGCCGTGGTGTTGATGGTGGTTAGTGGTGGGGTTTGGTTGTTGGTTTGTTGGGTTTTTTTCGTGGACAGCCCACACTGTCTGGTCTCCATCTCAAACAAATCCTGGAGCCGGCAGAGGGCAGCCGGAGCACAAATTCCTCCATCAGACAGAAAAATTGCAACTAAAAACCGTCTCTCCTGTATCAGACAGTGCTGGGATGCCGGAAAAGACTGACAGCCCCATTTTTTCACGTTATCCAAGATAATATTGCTCCATTGTCGGAAATTTTTTAATCTCCTCTCAGTCCAAGCCCCCCCAAAAAAATTCTGCCCCAAACCGGCAGAAATTAGACTATTTCTCTGCACGCCCAACATCTGTGCAACCGATGTCACCGGTGCTTAGTGGTTTTGTTTGCGAGGGCGTTGCAAACCAGCCGGAGAAAGAACGGGTTTTCTTTTTTAACTGAATGTGCTTAAAAAGCCACAAATTGAGAGCAGAAAATAGCAAAAGCATCTGAGACGATGTTTAATGCTTTCCTGATGAAAAAAGGGAGCTGCTAAAAAAAAAACCCACAAACCAACCAAGCCAGCAGCCTAAGTCACGTTGTATAATGTCTTTCCAGCACGTGCTGTATTTATGAACGAAGGGGTTAATGTATAGTTAACGTACACACTGGAGTCTGGCGGGCTGGTTGATTAATCAACACCAACCCCACAACTATTTCCTGCCGACTCTCCCCATCTCCAAAGCCTATTACTCAGCGTTCGTTAATGCGTGTCTACAGCCCATCAATCAGGTCAGAACTCACTATATGCTTTTTATAAGTAGAATGTTAATGTAAAGCCGTGGTCTTTTCCCTGTCACGTAGGTCTTTTCCCCCATCACGTAGGTAAGTCGGTGACTTTGGGTCCGGTTGGGTGAGGATCCTGTGTCCCACGCTTGGGGAAGTCCCGTGCTCGAAGTCAGCTCTCACTTTCTGAAGTTTCTCACCCTGCGGGGAAAAACCAGGCATCAAAATGATGCTAGAAAAGTAAAACGACGTGGGCAGGCTTGGTGGCGGCCAAAGGGACGCCCCACAGAGCAAAAGGTTACTCGTTCTTTTGCAATAGGGGTATTTTTCCGAGCGAGGTTTTTCAGGGAGGATGGAAACGCCAATGCCAAGCGGCGTTTTGGCTGTGTTATCGCACTGCATGCTGGGTTAAACCCACTGCACAGCACCCTTGGGTACTCAGCAAGCTACGCTCCCCCTCCGCAGAGCTTGTGGTGGGAAGGGGTCGGGTATTTCCCCCCCAGAGCGAGCCAGGATGGGCTGTTAGTGCTGGGACTGCGTTGATTTTTGGCCAGAGGCAGGCAGGGAAAGGTTTTTATCAATACAAAGCCATGGAGAAGATGCTGGAGGATGAGAAGGGCAAGGTGCAGCTGGAGAGTCTGGCGGCGTGGTGAAGGGACGCAGAAGGGGTCAGATTTGGTATATTTTTCCAGGAGCGGACGATGACAAGGGACAGGGATGGATGGACAGGGAGGTAAGATGGTAAAAGACTGATTTAAGCCATTTTCTTCTTGAATAAGGGGAGAAACGTTATGAGCTGAGGTTTGGGGAGCGTGGCAATGCCTGAAAAGCACGGCCTTGCATTTTCCCCCTGGGAGGATCTCAAGGAATTTCTAGCGCCGTCCAAGCTGTGTGGAGGAGATTTCGCAGGGCTGAGGCTGCAGGAGCCACGTCCCATCCTGCCGCGGAGCAAATCCACGTTGGCTGCGATGGCTCAGCCCGTCCTTGGGCTCCTCGCCCTCACTGCAAGCACCCGGGTTTGCTAGCAAAAATAAACCAAATACAAATCACGCACGGAGCAACATGAAGCTCCTGCTTTGTTCTGTGAGCCCCCCAAATCCTTGCAGAGCCACCCCCCCAAGACCATCCAAGCGTAAAAACCCGCTTGAGATCTTGCTCGTCTCCTTCCAGGGGCAGTGCAAACGGGCAAAGAGGATCGGACGCCTCCGGAATTGCATCGGCCGAGCCCTGCCCTTCCCTCGGCTGCTGCAATAAGCCTGGCTTTTCTTGCAATCCCTCTTGGCGAGGCCAAGGAGAGGGGGGAGGGACCTGGCTGTCCTCCAAGGAGAAGCAAATGCAAATATTTCTTCACTTCAGGCTGGGTGCGGCCCGGGGGTAAAATTTCCCTGGGCTTTCCCAGCAAAGGCATCTGATACCATACCCTGCTGTGAGCTCCCAGGAGTACAACGGTGTATCCCATTAAAAAAAAACAACAAAGAACAACCCACAACAAAACCCAAAGGTTCTTTTTCTTGCAACTCAAAGCTTTTAAATTAAAGGAGAAGCTGACAGGCAGTGCCCGTAGTATTTTTGAATCAGTGGTCAAAGTGTTGCTTTGTAACAAATAAGGCCTTTTGACAGGTTTTGTTTGCAAGCCGAAGATTTTTGGCACGGTGTGAGGAAAGCAAGCCCGTGAAGGGAAACAGGCTGGAAAGTGCCTTTCCCCAGCATCCCCTTGGTCAACCGTGAGATGAGCTGGAGTCCTCGCGTAGGAAACGCTGCAGGAGGGGAAACTGAGGCTGAAGAAGCCGCCAGGGCTTTGCTGGCTGGAAAAGGTGCTGGGAGGAGGGTTGGATGCTCAGCACTGACGATGTTTTGTTTTGGTTTGGTTTTTTTCCAAACAGGATGGAAAGAGCTGGAGGAAAACTGGGTTATTCTTTTGGTTGACCCAGGTTAATTACAACCATATCCCAGCCGGCTTGCTGTAGCATCATCCTTCCCTGCAGAGCATTCAGATCCGTTTTCTGCACTTTCCCATCTTTGATGCAACCTAAAAACCTAAAATGTCTTAAATAAAAAGTGTTCTCATCCTTCTGGCTAAGAGAAAGGCTGGGGGGGGGGGGAC